GCCAGTATACGACATCGAACCCGCCTTGATAATCGACCACGAACCCAATACACGAGATGGAATGCCTCGGTCACATTCAGTGTGATTTGTTTTAGCTAGGTGTGAAACCACTGCACTAGTGAGTGATTTAATCGTTCCTGTTTAACCGGTGTTTAGACGAAATTGGCATCAGATAACCGAAGAGTTTATTTCCTCTTTTCCCAAAACGATTGTTTGCGTTTTTATGGTTGAATACTGAATTATTTATAAACAGCGTAATATTTATTGTGAGGTATTGGGCATGACTACAAATAACTGAAAACGAGCTTGTTCTACTCTAATTATTCTATTTACTGAAATCGCAAAATTTTAACAGCTAAGATAACACTTCAATCAGTCATGTACTCTCCACCATTGTTAACTACTTCTTCCCATCTTTTCACCAGTTTGTTGATTCCATTTCGCCAGAAATCTTTAGGTCGAGTCTCGAAGTTGTTGAGCCAATTGTCAAGACGATCCTGATTTTCGAAGCTAAGAGACCTCATTTCATTTGAAAGGCAGTGGAAGCGATGGGAATCCGTCAGGGCGAAGTCTGGTGAATAAGAAAGATGTTGAAGCACACTTGGAGTGCCATCTTGATAGTTTTTACGGTGTGTATTTGAACCTTGCCATGGAGGAGAATCACCTGGCTTTGTCGACTCAGTCTTTTTTGTTGAATTACCTCACTGGCTCGATGCAATCGGGCCTTATGGAGATTCTTATCTACCGTCATGTTTTTCGAAGAATTTTTCAGTGGATTGAACTTTCCCAATCCCACCTTACGCAAATTATCGCCTTCATCGGGTGCAAGTCTTGCTCCTATTCTTAGGCTTCTCTTCAGTTCTCTCAGATATAGCGTCCTCTCCATACAAGACCCAAATATGTCTGTCACTCGCTTTTTGACCTCGATTAAAGGCGAAAAGAAGGAGGTATCGAACGTGCGGTTTTTTTGTAGACTTGACATCCCATTTTACGGTGCTAAAAGGAGACAAAAAATAATACAGTCAGATGCGATTACTTTAATCTCGTAGAGCATACCACCGGGTTTCTAATGGTATATAACGCTTCGTCAAACATCAAGCAGTCTTCGTAGAACAAATAGTTTGATGTAACGACGGGAACTTATGCAACAACCTAATAATTGGACAGGAAGCTTCTGTAATATTTGAGAATAGTTGATCATCGACTCATGCATTGTCCTACAGTGAAGTTACAACCACAGTAGCTGAATGGTTGTGTTTCTTTTTTAATTACCGTAATTGTAATTGTTAAAAGTTCACTAATAAAAATGGAATCTCTAACTGATTGTGGTTCTTACTGCAAGACGTTCTGAAGGATCTGGATTTTCTCAATTTCTTTCATTGCTCGTGACAGTTACCTGTCAGTAGTTACCGGTGCAAACAATTGATCGGTTTTATCTCGATATTCAAAATGCCCTCACGAATTCCAGCTTCCATTTATCACGGGGCAATTACGAGCAACGTCAGAATTAATCATTGGGCAGGAACTATATCAAGTCGAATTGTAAATCTGTTTCGATAGCGTACAATACATCGAATTGAAGATATGAGCCCTCAGGTCCCTAGTAGATTTAGGGTATTGGCCGTTAGCCAAAAGTCTGCTAGAGACATCTGTGGTAAAACAACTAAAGTAAACAGACAAGTTCGATCATTACTTACAAACACAAATGCATATGTAATATATATAATGAATATCGCGTGAAATGTAAGACGTGACTGATTTATACAACTTCCATGGCCAGCTACGGAATGCCCTTTATTGACAAAAATTGGGATGAGGTTCACTACCGTTCACATTAGCAAGGTCATAATTGAAATCCGTTTGGTGTCTCTATGCGATGCTGAATGTTATCATCCTCGTAACAAATGTGAGTGATCCGAATATACCATCATCCCATACCGTAAGAAAACCAGTAACGAACAAGCTCGTTAGCAGTGTAACATCTCGAGACCAACAAATTTCAATTTATATCAAAATCTGTAGCATCCCGGTTAGGGGGGGGGGGGTTGATAACAAAATGGGGACAGACATAATCAACATTTCAATTCAATGACCGGATTTTGCTCACACTTTGGGTGTCACATACACGCATTGATTCAGACCATTAGGAACGGACGGTGCGTGTGTGAGGTGGGGGAGGGGCGGGTTCTGATGACTGAGTGGTTTAGTTATGGAGGATTGGTAAGAAAACAAGGTGTGATAAGTATCGTTTTCTACAGTTGATTACACAGTGCAGTCAACAAACTGCATGCATCACAAATGCAACGGCTATAGCTTGGTCCACCAAACAGTACCCACTAGATAGAATGGCTAAAATTTTGTTTTCATCGTTGACCGTAGCCCAATAAGGGGCCATTTGAGATCAGAGGATTACAGTGTAGACATGCATGAAGGAGCCAGCACATGTTGATGACGCTATTTCCAATCAATGTGTGAACAACTTATCGACAGCGTTTCTGAAACACCAGGTTATTACCCTTTTTACTTGCTTTTCCAGACATGGGGCAAACCGAACGACAAAAAATACAGCAATATCAAATCGAGTTAACTGGACAATTATTGGCAAGACACCCCTCACAACCCATCGAGAGTGAAGTGTCTGCGAATCGTACGGGCGAACAATGTCTTCATAGTAGGAGTCACCTTGATCAGGCGATCTGTGTTGGAAGTCTTCACAATATCAGCTTTTCGGTTTTCCTAACTTTGATTGCCAAACAGCTTGGGGTGAAGTAATCGCGAGCACAGCTAACAGAATGCGCTCACAAGCAGTTCATCATAGACGGATATCTTGAAATGATATTCGGACAACTTGAGTTTCCAGAGGTATACAGAATAAAATAAACGAACAGCATCCAGTTTGTCGGTGATTGAATTCTGACGTTCACAGCCGGGACGGTTTAATGCAGTTGCTGGTGTGTATTTCCATCCGTTTGGACTAGAAATCGAAAATTGGTGAGAATGAGGAGCCTACTTGTTGTGCGGTAATTAGTCCAGCAGACGTATATCCATTTACAGGGAGCAATGTATATGCAACCTCAATCTGGTTTCCGTGTTCAGAATTAGGTGAATGGTGTAGCCGAAATCTTTAAAAACGTGTTCGGGAGTTCGACTCTGAAATCATTATAAACAACTCAGCCACATAAAAGTCAGTGTACAAATTATCACTACAGCGTTAATTTAACGCAGTCCTCCAATATCCAGTTATTTGATTTATGCTGAAACTCTAGTCACCTGATTCTTTCCTACTGGCACTTTTGTTTACACGAACCGATTTGTTTCCTTGATAGTACATCTATTTTCAGGTGCAGTAGAAGTATGGTCGCAACGCCCCGCCCTTGTACATGAGGGTTTGTGAACAGGGATTTGCCCGGGACCTGGAGTTGATGGGGTGGGGGGCAAACCGCATGGCGGTATGGAAAACAGAATCATTTTGTAGTTCGATCATATTCCATCTGTTCAAGTGCAAGTTCAAGTGGGGAGACCGTGAGGGGTGCTGCCTTGAATTTACTACCGCGTTGAGTGCGAATATCGAAAAAAATAGCTCTTTAATTATCGCTGTTTACCATGGCTGATTTCTGTTACGATGCGCTACAATTTCATGCAGTGACACGATTTGGCATTACATTTCCCACTTTAAACATGGATGTCTTCCAGTAAATAAGAGAATAGACTAAATTCTTGACCATTTCTCAACTTTCGTTAATTTCAGTTTTAGGTACTATGTACAACCCCCTGACAAGAATATGACTTTTGATAAATACCTAGTGAATTCAAAATTCATGGTGATTTTGCTTACTTTGGCCGGGCATATTATGTCGCGTTTCTCACTTGTGCATCTCATCACACACAAGTATTGATCGCCAGATTCCCACATGTCAATCATCATTCTGTTTTGTTTTCACTGCAGCCTGAGGCTGGAATACACCAAACTGAATTTCTGTATCACTCTTCCTTATACGAGTCCATGTTCATGTGTGACCAACCTCTAGATACTCCCAAACTGCTCATATCGCTTTTCTAAGATATCCAATCGGAAATTTGATTTTATGATCAAAAATCTGATTTCTGCTGCATCAGACGAAGAGCGTGACGTTCTCGGTTTCCAAAGAGATCTTTCTTCATGATGTCATTGCAGTCGAGATACTGCAAGTGCAGCAGCCAGATGTTTTGTGTTCACCGGCGGTGAAAAAATATCCAATAAGCCAACATTCTTGGCTCACGAAAAACATTTTTGATGGCCACCATTGGGTGCTCCAATGACTACTTGAAATGCAGCGGTTCTATCGCGAAATGGGGTGTTGTGAAATTATACAGCATCACTATAGCACCATCTACTTAAACGTTTCCAAGCCATTAGTTCCGGTCGCCCGGGACGGTCGTGGAACCGTGGTAATAATAATCATTTGTAGGACATTATTGAATTCCATCTCATGTTCTTTTTAATTAAAGGTGATAAACTATATTTGAACGAATACATCTCATTTGGATCACCCATCTTCCTTGCAGAGGTATGCGAAATCCACCAGGCAGCATAACGCCTGACTGCCAGCACCGAATATCCATAGAATTCGAGGGTTGAAAAGATCAGTGCTTACTGTGTAGCTTCTTAGGTCTGAGTGTGCGCAGTATAAAAGAGAAATTGGCGCCTTTGCTTTGGTTTAAATTTCAACAGGCCTGCTGAACTTTTCGCTATTTAAACAAAGACATTATATGGCCAAACAAAATGATTGAAAAATCATTTTCTCATTTATTTCTATCCGTATCTTCGTCTCACATCAGAAACCAATCAACGATCTGGATTTGCCTATTCTTATGGCCCCAAGAGGCTTCTGTGATCCGAGCGAAAATAGCCAAAATCCATCGGAGCTGGTGGTTCTCATAAAGTCCTGTGTCCGTTGCCGGAAGGATCGTTATTGGACACGTGAAACACTCATGCAACCACATTTGTGGAGTGATTTTCGTGTTCGATTCGTGTTTGTCACTGGAATACCCTCAGTCAATTACACCGGGAATATCCACTTCGAGGGAGTATCAGTCAATCATCGTAGTCATGGTAATGAGAAACAGGATTACGTGAGCACAAAAGGGGAATTGTTATCAGAGGCAAATCAATTTGGTGATATGCTGATCGGCGATTTTGAGGATCACTACTTTTCACTGACTCTGAAGCAAACATTCATATTTCGTTGGATCTCGGCGTTTTGCGCTCACGAGTCCCAGTTATTCTTGTTTTTGGATCACGACTACACGGTCATTCCAACCAATCTTATCAGATTTGTACGCGGATTACCCGCAGAAATATTGCCGGAGTTGAGTTTTGGTATTCCTGGTCAAAATCATTTGGTAGTGCGTCCCCAGCAGAAGTCTAACAACCGCTGGGCCATATCGGAAGATGAGTTCCCATGGGACTACTATCCTGCGTATTTTGGAGGGCATTCGTATGTCAAAGGAATCAATGTTGTGACAGATCTAGCAATCGCCTCGGCTTTTGTCCACCCACTACGAGTGGAAGATGCTTATATGGGCATTCTGCGTTACAAGTTGCAAATCCAAACTTATGTAGTACGCAAATTTGTGCATAGAGTCCAGTCGGCAGAAGAACTACAGAGCACAATTATTGGAAACTCCTGGTACATACACAAGTTTTTCAATTGGAAAATCGGTCAGATTATCCAGTAGTGACCCTGCATTTGTTTAAAAGTTTTATCCCACATTTCAACTGTGGTAAGGGATATTTTTT